AGCCCGCCGGGGCCGCAGCGGAGCTGAGGGAGAGCAGCGCCTGCGGGGCTGGAGGAGCCCGAGGGGACTGTGGGAACCCAGGCAATCTGAAGGAGCTGGGGGCTGAGAACTGGAATTGCCGGGGCTGGAGAAACGGCGTCTGGTGCTGCGGGGCTGAGGGAGCTGGGGGGGTTGGAGGGGTTCAGACGGGGCTGGTGGGGCCCGAGGGGAGCTTGAGGAACGAGGGCTGGGGGAGCCCCAGGGGCTGTGGAGGAGCTGGGGTTGGAAGAGCCATGGGAGGTTTGAGGGAGCCCTTCCCAGGTGTGCACTGAGCTCAAGGGTTGCTCTGGGGTAGCTGGATAAATGTGAGCTTTGCTATGCCACCTCCCCCAGCTGTCCCTGTCAGCAGGCAGTTTGAACTCTGTAAAACCCAGTTGCAAGAGCAAGGAAGAGAGTGGGGGGGAAAAAAGAGCCATGCAGCTTGTTTTTCCTTAAAGCATTACCGATGATTTGCATAATAGAAACATGCAGGATCCTTTCTTGCTTTGCCTTTAAACTTGCTGCTGGTATTTGAACCCAGGATACTTTTCTCTATATTGTGCTGAAATATTCCAGCTGTTTGCAGTTTCCAGGCAGGATGCTTACACACTGCCTCTGGATTTGATATTCCATCCCCTCTTCTGATACTTGTACAAACTGCTGCCCTGTGACCTGTTTCCCTTCTGACAACATGAAGGATTAAATTAATACAGACCTTTTCTTTCACAGTTACTCACTGCTTTCAACATTCCAGACTGTGGTGGATTGATTCAGTGCCCCAGCATACAAGTATTTATTATCTTTGGAGAAGCAGGCACTGCAAAGGCCTTTCAGGAGAGATGTGGGCTGAAAATGGATGGTTGGCATTAGATTGTTATGCTGGTAAATACAGGGTGAAGTGGAGATGTTTTTAGAGTTTTCAGTGGTTATTCAGTGCTTAAGAATAGAGATAATAAATAAAAGATTTTTACAGGAGGATGCTGGAAGGGTGTTGGGAGCCAAATACAGCTCCTAGGTTATGAAGCACTCATAGGTGTGCAGGAAAGAGCTTTGTAGGACAGAGTAAAGCTCTTTATTCCACCTGTGGAAAGGAGTAGCTCAGACATATCCTTGGTGTCTTGTCAGGTGAAAGAAAATTAGCAGTGATCCAACCTCCTGCACCACTTTTTTCTTTTTTCCTCCTGGATTCTCCTGAGTTGGCCTAATTTCTGTTTTATATCACTATTATTAACTTGAGAAGTCTCATCCTCTTCCCTGATTTGTGCCATGTGTCTCACTCTGGTGACATGAGCAGAGCCAGCTGCAGACAAAAAAACTCCTGTGAGTTTTGTTTTGTGTCAGAGCAGAGTTCCCAGCCCTCAGTCACTGCCAGCACCAACACCTGGGTGGTGAATCCAGCTGTAAGGATCTTCCCAAAGCAGCCTTGGGTACTGGGAAAAGCTGGTGCCTGTCAGCTTGTCAGGATTTGGGTATCCTTGGGAATGCTGTGAGCTGGATCCTGCCTGGCAGCCCGGGGCAGTGATTAACCATTGACACTCAGCGTGCTGGTCCCTCAGAATAGCTCAGCTCAAGTTGCTGCTGACAGAGCTCCAAGAGACCATCAGCTCCACTGCCTGCCAAGCAGGAGATCTGCCTTCTGTGACCTTCCAAAGGGAGCCCTTGGGCCCCAGGGCAGTCCTGAAGGACTGAATCCCTGCTGGCCATGCTGTAGATGACACTGCAGTCTCCATGGAAATCAGGGCTCTGGGTTCTGATGGTGTGGGTGGGCCTGTGGATCGCTGGACGTGGATCTGCAAGGGCTAAATCATCCTGTGCTACGGCAAACTGCTTTTCCTGCCTCGACTGCCATGTGGTTGAGTGGTTTCTGTGTCTCTGGAGGAAGGATGCCAGTGCTGGAGTTCCTGCCTGGAGTTCAGTGGGATGACAAAGGCTGTCCCAGAGATCAGCCCTGTGAAAAGGAGCTGGCTTTGCTCAGATATTTCCAGCATCTCACTCAGGCAGATGTGTTCAGTGTGTCACACCCTTCACCTGTGAAACGAGGAAATCAGAGAGACTGTTCCTACTCTGTCTGCCCTCAGATGGGGCTCATGGTTGGCTTCTTTACTTGTGAAATTGCTTATTTCTCCTATTTCAAATTTTCACCTGTCACAAGCTATTCCAGAAAAAAGCTTCAGAGGTAACATTAGGGAGATGAGTTCTGCTGTCCCCAGGTGCCGAGCATTGACCTAAGAAAGATGTGGCAAAGGAGACAGGAATAGCGAGGCCTGAGGTGGCTTTTTTGTCCTCGGCCTTCAAGGTTGTGACTGCAATGTTGTGATTCTTTGAGCCCCTTTAAGCTAAAGACTGGATGTACCTTTGTACCTGAGGAAGAACAGATAATCCTGTGCCCCTCATCCACATGAAGGCGATGGGAGGATTGTTCTTTGCATATCCTGGATAATAAACATGGCTCTGCCAGAAATCAAATTCCAGATGTGCAGACTGTGATCCATGGCAGCAGAAACAGCACAGGTTCCTTTATCAGGCACTTCCACACACCTCACCTGAGCTATCAAGTAAGAGAGGGGCTCACAAAAGGAGGGATTCTCAGTGCTTTTGGGATTTGGGAGAATGCTTGTGGCTGGGAGATGTCTGTGTGCCTAAAGCTCCAGGACTGCCAAGCTGTCACATCTCAGCCATGAATCAGCTTTCCAGCCTCAAGAAGTGAGAGATGCTCTGCAGAGCACCCAGGAAGGGTGTGCAGCATCTCAAAAACTCCCATATTCCAGACAATCCTGGAGCCATCCTGGGAAGCTGCCACCAGCAGCTGGCAATCAGGATCAAATGCCATCGCTGTGACACCGGCCATGACACACAGAGAGGAGGGAGAGGCTGCTCTTGCTGCCACAGACAGAAAAGGGACATTTTTGAGCTTGTTTATGTGCTGTGCTTCCCCAGCTGGAACCCCTGGTCCTGTGTGAACCCCGTGGTCTGTGCCAGGAGCAAGATTAGTTTCCTGCAGACATATCTAGGTCAGTGTGTGCTGTTGTTGTCCTGACGACAAAATGACCCACTTTCCCCTCATTTGTGGAAGCACTTGCCAATGGGGCCGGGGCATGGCCGAGCACAAAGGCACAGGACCTTCCTCCTGCCTTTGTCTCCAAGCTGGGCTCCTACAGAGGCAGGGGTTTTCTCCTCCTTGCTCGGTTTATTGTGTTTCTTGCATCTCGTTCGTAACAGATGGATAATTAGAAATATTGTCGGGCTGTATCTGCCCCAGGAATGATCCCACCTTTGTGGATAAGGAATCCTGTGGGGATTGTGTGTAGGGCCCCACCTGGAGAAATCCACACAGTGGGATGAGCACGGGGTAGGGACAGACCCTGCACAGCTCAGGCACTGCTGGCACAGCTGCCCCATGAGCTCCAGGTAGGGAGGCACCAAGGCAAGAAGCCTGGCCAACATTTCTGTGTGGATTATCCTCATCCCTGAGAGGGCAGAGACAGAAAAACCTTTTAGAACATGGCTCTGGTGAGCCTGTGGGAGCAGCCATAGCTGTATTTCCGTGATGTACAATCTGAAATGAGTTGAGCTGGCCTGATCTGGTAATATAGGGATGGCTCCAGTGTAAAACCTGGGAAATGTAATTGTGTGGATTTTTCCCTGAGGAAGGAGTGGCTATTCCAAGGAGAAGACAGGAGCAGCGCCCTGTCCTCTGGTTTGCTTTAAAGCTGCAAGGGAATCCAGATGGCTGACAGTGCATGAATCTTTTTACGAATCCCAGAATAGATAAATTAGTCACTGTTTTTAATTCCTTGTAAAAGTGCTTTTACTTGCAAAGGAAAAATCCAGTTCTTTCCCAAGATGAACACTTGTGTCCCACTGTTGTCCCTGAGATGGGTGTTACCCTCAGGGCTGTGTGTACAGGGGGCTGCAGGTTCAGCACACATGGCAAAATCATCAGCAACACTCTCCATTCCAGAGGCAGTTATTTTATAGCAGATTCAGTTCATGATCCCTGCAGGGAGAAACGCTATTAGAGCAAAGAACATCAGCCCTGAGAATGCACCGTTATTCTGAAAAGACTGAGGTAAAAAAATGCTGGTTTGGGGAAGGAAGGGATGGAAGGATGAACAGCCACTTGAAGGGGAACTGGGGAACTGCTTTGCTGGGGATGTGGAGGGCTCCCATTGTCACAGTTCCTTCTGTAACCTTTTAAACATTTTGTAGTTTGGGGTTTTTCTAAATTTAGCAGATTTTTAAATATGCTTTCTTCTTGATGTTTAGAGTATCTAGATCATTCTTTCAGCTGCTAAAGGACTGTGGTGATAATTTTGGGATAACAGTTTGTAGAGTTAGCTTATTTCTCTTTCCAAGCTTCCTTCTCACAGCCCAGCAGAAAGGGTGTGATCCTTATCCATGGCTGTAAGCATGAAGCAAAGTACACCTCTGTGCTCCCCTTCTCCTTACCCAGCACATCCCTTTTTAGCTCAATTCCTCCAGCATGAAGTAAATGAAGTGGTAATTCACTCAACTTCCTCAGGTTTGGGACAATGTCAGAGAACCAGAGTGGCTGAGGGGTGAACTGGGAGCAGTCAGAGCAGTGGGTTTGAAATGTGGTGTATGGATTGATCTGTTTGTTTTCACAACCTCAGGGCCAGACACCCAGCTCCTGCTACAGAGACAGCACTTTCAGGGCTTCCATTGTTTTCCTGTTGGCAGGAAATGTTTTTTCTGACTAAATTTTTCTTGCTGCAATCTAAGGCAGGCTGCCTTTCTGCAGAGGAATAATAAATTACTTCCTCCCTTGCTGCAGTAGCATTTTACATGTGTGAAGAGTGAATGACAGAGTCTGTAAAACTTCTTTAGAACTCCTTGGTTGTGGATACTAGTTTAAAGAATATATGTATCTTGATCATTGGAAGCACTGAATAGAGTTAGTTACTATTATTTCTATTGTATTTTGATTTCAGACCCTGTCCAGCAGCCTGGAGATCACAGAGCTCTAGTCCAGAGCTTACAGGTGTACAGGTATGGAAATACCTGCTGATATTCCTTACCTTTCTGCCAGCACTCAAGGTTCTGCTAATGAGTGGCAACATAAGAGATTTCCTCATTCCCCAGCTCCAGGTCCCCTTATAGAAACCTGCCAGGAGAAAATGCCTGTTGATTTGGTCTTGTTTAGATAGATAATGATCCTGCACCACTTCAACAAATCGTCTGGGTAGAAGATCCATGTCTGACAGCCCATTTCTGCAAGCAAAGTGGAAACTTTTACAGGAAAATAAATTATTTCTCCTCCTCCTGGCTGTTTACACTGACACCCACAGAGGGTGGGTGAGGGGTTTTCTGGCTGTCCTGAACAAGGCACCAAACATCCTGCTAGCTCATGTGCCCACACGGCAGTGCCAGCTGAGAGCTTACACCCTGGATAAGCCATGGAGATAATTTCCTTCTCCAAGTAATCCCAGAACATCTCCTTCAAGGCTCTGGTTTAGATAGGCTGCCAGGCATGAGGGGAATGTTACCCTTGCTAAATATATGTGAGAACACATTCCCAGGCTTAAAGAACTGAGAGCTTTGGCTGTGTTAGACAGATTGCCTATGAACAGCAGGAAATACAGGCTGTGCCACCAGACCCAGCACTCAGTGTGAGGGAGCAAAACAGCCAAGCACATGAGGCACGAGGGCCCTGCTGTGGGACTTCCCTGCACAGACAGTGCACGGTGTCCTGGGCTGTGCCAGCCATCACCAGCTCTGAGCTGCCAGATGCCCATTTCTGGCCTCCTGGAAGCCCAGCTGGAAGAGCAAGGCTTGTCCCCCAGAGGGAAGCTCTGATGGAAACAGGCCCTTTGAGCTGGGCTTATCTGTTGCCAAGGGCAGCTCCAGCATCTCCTCACCTTCTTCACAGAACAAGGCTCCTACTTCAAAGTGAGCCCCAGCCTCAGGCACAGCGTGCTGGGGGTTGTTCAGAGTATCAGTAGAAGTGGAAATGATGATGTGGGGCCGTGGAGAGCAATCTGAGGGGAGCCAGTGGAATCTGCCCCACCACCAGGCAGCAAACTCCACGGAGTCCAGAGCAGCACCAGTATCTGAGTGCCACTCTGGGAGACTGAGGATCAGGACTAAATCACTGTGAGCCTGGTTGGTCTGGAGTGGAGGTGGTGGCAAATCAGATGCTGAACAGATTTGTGAACAAATGTCCCTCAGCAGGCTGTGAAGGCCAGAACTGAGCTGCGATGTCCCCAGCAATAGTCACAGCACTTGCCCTACAGCAGTTTGCACCTGCTCAGATAATTTGCACATTCCGCAGCCTGGTGGCCCATAAACGATGAGGGTTGTATGGGGTTTATCGTTGTCCTGCCTAATACACTGGAAAATGTTATCCAATAAATTCTGTCTCCCACAGGAAAACCTGTGTTTCCTCAGGACCAGAGCTGTGTGGTGGCCCAGCTCCTGCAGAAGCTGCCCTGGCTCCTCACTGATCTGTCCTCAGCACTGAAGATTCCCTAAAACCTGGTGCTCTGTAACATCAGTGAACTGCTCACTAAATTGTTTCAGGTATTTATTATTTCCCTTGTGCTGTTGCTGAGGTCTTCACTGCAGGACACAGTTTGTACTGTGAGGTGCTGGGGACAGTGGCTTTTAATTCTTGCTTTAAGGTTGCTGAGCAGCTGTTCTGCTTCATTGTCTGAACCAAGCTCTTTTTCCAGCTGGTTATCCTTTGTCTAGTTCGCCTCTTGGAATCCTCAGGTGTCTGTAGTGGTTGCTCAGAAGACCTTGCAACAGGTAGACAAGGGCCAGTGTTCATGTGCTGCTGCAGTTGTTGGGAATGATATAACTTTCCTAACTATTTTGTAATTAGTTGTTTTAATTAATTGTAAATTAAATGTAAATGTAAATGGTGCCCACTTTTAGGATTTTTTCTTAGTAAATTTTCTTCACAGGCTCTACTTGTTACTTTGATCACTAAATCACCAAAACCTCAAATTGCTAAAACTAGCACTGACCAGCTTCAATAAACAGAGCCAAAGGATGCTGAAGCTTGAATATCTGAGATCTTAAACTTATGGCCCTTCAAGGACTTTGGAGCAACCAGAAGATACAGAGGAAATTAAGGCCTGGAAAGCTGGAAAACTCTCCCCATGTGAGGAAGAAATAATAAAAGGACTAAAAAATGTGAACCAAATTAACATGAGGAGTGAGAAATCAATAACCAATAGAGAATAGCATACTAATTAACAGAGAGAATTATGTAACTTGGAACCAATGAAGATTGATTTCTTTGTTTGCTAAAAATAAGTGACAAAGTTTTGTATCAGGGACTGTGTGGAGGCTGGAGCTTTGTCAGCCACACACACAAACCCTGGACAGGAATAAAGTAATTCCTGATTCACTGACACTAAAAAGGCACTGTTAGGGGGGGTTTGTTTATCCCAAGGATTTGGGAAACACAGAGACAGCTGGGATGGGGGCTGGATGCTGCCTATTCACCTGGGATTGCCAGGGAGGCTCAGAAAACTTGCTGGTAATTACAACATCCTTGTGGCTTCCCTGCTGGATGGGGACAGGACCCATGCTCAAGGACAGGTGCATTTCCAGAGGTGAAAGTGAGACAATGGAAGCAGGATTGGTTTGGGGGCTCTGGCCAGTGATGCTGTGAGATTGGCTCTGGGGTGGAGAAGAACCATGGGCTGAGCCTGGGAATTTTGGTTGGAACTGAAGCCTGGCCTGGGGAAGGGTGAGATCCTGGGAAGGGCCAGCATCCACTGTCCACAGAGTCTGGAGACACAGAATGAGCTCAAAGTGCAAACCCACAGTGCAACCTTTGAGCGGGGCCTGGCAGGGGACAGGGAGCACTGGGACCTTGGTGGGTGGCTCTGCTGGGAGCTGTGTGAGGAACACACAGCCCCAGTGCCCCCTGTGGGTGTCACCTGCACGTGGGACAGGCTCTGTGGGGCTGGGGGGACAGTGCTCAGCTGTGCAGGGCTCAGCTGCAGCAGTGCTGGCTCAGCTCTCCCCTCTGTGCCTCTCTTGCTGACCTCTGGTGCAAGCAACTCAAGAGAAATCAGACGAACTTGCACAAATACTCAATGGGTTATTTATTTACTTGTGCCTTCAGGTATACCCCCTGAGACTTTGTGTGTTTATTCTCTTGGTTCAGCAAAACTTTCTCCCTTTCTAAAGCCAAAACAACCTGAGGAAGCCACCTGGCACTTCTGCAGACGTCTGAGCCTTCACTTGTGCAAGGCTTAAAGCTCTGGGTGTGGATTTCTCTTCAGGGCTGTCACCAAAGTGCTTCAAGGACACTGAGCTGGGCTGGGGAGCTCTCAGGGCTTAGGAGGAGTGAGCAGAGGATTTAAGGCAGAAGCAGGGAGCTGGTGCCAGCCTGCAGAATGACACCCTGCTCTGTCCCTGCTGGTTGCTATGGCATTTTCATTTCTGCTTCTTTGCAAGGGGGATTTGTGTTTTTTCCCTGGTTACTGAGCAAATCTTAATAGTGTGGAGGACTAGTCACTACTAATGTAAAAACAGTGATAGGGGAAAAATTAAGTTTAATTTTTAGATGGGTCTGAACATCAGCAGTAGAAAATCACAGAATGGCTTGGGTTGGAAGGGACCCTAAAGATAATCCCATTCCAACCCCCTCAGGTGGGCAAGGATGTGCAACTCCAATTGCCAGAACTCTGCAAGAGACACTGAGATATTCAAAATCTTTTGCTAAGGATTTCTCCTGTGAAGAACCTGGGAATTTTCAGCCATGGATGACCCAGTAAACAACTTGGTCTTTCAGGATAAGGAACTTCACGACTGCAGGTTATTTGCTGCAACATTTCACACCTATATTCTGCCACAGAAGGATCCCCCATGTTCCAATAGCCTCTTATGCTAGAAATTCTGTGCAAATTAGTGTAATTAGGATTAAATTACCCCTGAAGTATATCCAGTGGAATTTATACATGACACTTTTTTTCCAGTTGAATACAGAAATGAAAGGATGATATAAACCCTGATGTCCAGGTGTTAGAAGGTGATGATCCACCTAAATCAAGCCTTGAAATCCAGACAAGTCAATCATACAAATACACTTTATTCGAAAGTTCTAGGAAGTTGGTACAGCAGTATTTGACTTCTGAGGAGATGGAAAATCTGTGAGCATTTTGGGAGTATTTTTTGGTCCATCACACACATTTTGATGGCCTTTGAACAGGACAGAAAGAAGTGATTTACCTCAAGCATTGGCCCCATACCTCTGGATACGCCTTCCCCAGGAGGGCATCTCGCTCCACAGCCAGGTCTGCATGGAAGGATTTTAAGGCAGAGCCCCTCAAGTCAGGAATGTGAATCACAGAATCATTAAATAGAATCCTGGAATATCCTGAGTGGGAAGGGACCCACAGGGATCATGGAGTCCAAGCCTTGGCTCTGCACAGGCACCCCAGCAATCCCACCCTGAGCCTGGCAGGGTCACAGAGAGCAGCCTGGTGCTGGGTGGAAGCAGCCCTTGGGACAAGTGCCTGAAGTGCCAGGACACAGGGAATGGCTCCCAGTTGTTGGCTGGGAGGGTGGGCAGGCCCTGGCACAGGGTGCCCAGAGCAGCTGTGGCTGCCCCTGGATCCCTGGCAGTGTCCAAGGCCAGGCTGGATGGGGCTTGGAGCAGCCTGGGATGGTGGGAGGTGTCCCTGCCCACCAGGGGGTGGAACTGGATGAGTTTTAAGGTACCTTTCTGTGATTAAAAAAAAGAACATGAAAACTCTGGATCAAGACATTTTGGATTGCTTGGTTACAAAATACAGCACAGCAGCATTGGTGCAGAAAAACACATTTCTTGCACCTTGCTGCAGCAAATCCTCCATCCATTTTAAGCCCCCCCCACTGTTCTGTTTGCCAGCTCAGAAGTGAGAAAGATCCCCAATAAAAGGCAATTCTGCTCCCAGGGAAGCTTTTCATACGCAGAGTCTGAAATTCTTACACTGCTTCCCCTGCTGTGCCTCTTATAAGAGATATTCCCACTTTCCAGAAAAATCTGTGTGACACCTTTTAAATGATGTATTCACTGAATTAAATCAAACAGCCAGCTAGAGAAATTTCAGATAAATTAAGAAGACAAAGCAAATAGAAAGACATTAAGCACATACATGCACACAACCACAAGCATGAGAGCTCCCACCCAGCAGCCTCTCCTGTTCTCTGATACACAATATTATGTTCATGGATATTTTTCATACCTGCAAAATTTAAATATATATGGAATATAAATAAATATATATTTTTATACAACAAATACAAATGTATGTTTTACCATATGAGATTAAAATTACTTCAGAACTGGCATATTCTCTCCCCAAAATTATGTAAAATTTCATGGCATTACAGAATCATGTGATAAAGTAGTACAAGAGGGAGTGCCAAAATTAGGAAGGGGATCTGCAGCTTTCCTTGGGTCTGGCCTAAGTGAAAAGTGATCACTGATGAAGCCTGTGCCAGTGTCTGAGAGGAAAGAGCTCCCTGGGGTGGGAATTGTCCTGTCTGCACTGCTGTCCCACAGGGAGTGAGGCTTAGCACAAAGCCCTGGAATAATTCATTAGCTCTCACCAAGACTGCAGGAGTTAAAGGAAATTCTTGTGTCACTTTACACTCCAGCCCACAGGAATTCCAAATCTCACAGTGAGAGAGTGGGTTTAATTTATTGTCTTTTATTGAAAATCTGCTTACATGGTACATCCTTCATCCCAAAACTGTTCTCAAAACTGTGTGAGGTCTAACATGCCTTGGACAGGTGTTGTAGGTAAAATCTCCACACTGTCTGTGTCCTTCCATGCTGACTAATCATAGAGTCATTAAGGTTGGAAAAGACCTCCAAGATCACTGAGTTCAACCTTAAATTTCAGCTTCTCTGTAGTTCTCATGGATTCCTTCCAGAAGCTGCAGCTCCAACTGTTCTGCAAACATGGATCTCTCTGCCTGGGCTGGAGACACCTCCCTGTCCAAACAGCACATTCACCACCCTTCACTCACCAGAGGAGATCCTGCTGTGTTTCCTTGCTTGTGAGGGAATGGAGTTTTTTAATTTTGTGGAATTGAGAGCTCCTCTAAGCCTGTGCTTTCTTGTTTAAAAATGGACTCCGAGGGAATGATTTTCAGAAGGGGGAAACTGAGTTTTGTAATTCCCGAAAATCTGAGTCACTGCTACCCACTGCCAGTTACCACTTTAGGAGCTCAGTCTGGCAACTGTGTCCCAGTGGGCAGAGGAAGTGGGAAATATTTGGGCATTGTCCAAGAGGAGAAGTTCTCCACAAACACTTCTTGCTGTTCCAGCGCTGGATGGGAATGCACCCTGTGTTTTCCAGGGTTTTGGGAAAGCCTCGTGCCTGAACAGGCTGGAAGTGCAAAGTGGTGCCTGGGCTGAACATGGCTTTGCTGCCAGTGCCATTAATTCCTGATTTAATGCAGAATTCTGCCATCTCTGCCCCATCCTAAGGCTCTTTTCCTCCCAAATGAAGCTGCAAAGTGCAGCTTCCCTGCTGAGCAGCTGTCTGACCACAGTGCAACGCGAGCAGGGAGTGCCTGGTGCTTTCAGCAGCTCCAGGACTTTCCAGCTGATTTACCTGAAAAAAACTGAGCTGATAAAGATCCAGACCGGGCTGGAAGGCTGGAAAGGAAGAGGAATCATATTCCCACAGAGGAGATCCTGGCGTGTGTCTGGATTGTGGCGCTGTCTGGGCTCCCCAAGCTCCCTAAGCACAGATTTCTCCTTAAAGGGGAGATAGATGAGTGTTGGAATGAACAGCAGTCTGTGCTGCCTCTCTCCAGAATGCTGCCTGCTCCTGGCTTTAAGGAAAGCCTGAGAAAATTTCAGCTACTTTGATAGGAAATGGTTGACTGGAACTTTCACGGCATCCTGGCAGGATCCATCTATATTTGAAGAGGACAGATATCTCTATAGCAACCAGCATTTGTCACTTGGGCAGAATCTCCAGGGTCCTTTCCTAAGGTGCTGGGTGTGCTCCCTCTCAGGTGCTGTGCACCTGAGATCCCTTTGTTCACCACCCCTATTTTAGAAATAATTGTTTCAGTATTTTAGCACTGGCATCATCGATGGTTCAGGCCCTCTCAGCCATTTAAAGCAGGTTTCTTAATACCCAGGCAGTCACAGTGTGCCCTGCCTCTGCCTTCTGGCAAGCTGGGCAAGAAAGAATTTACTGAAAAGTGTTTACACTGTGCACAATTATGGCAATATTTGGAGTGGGGAACCACCCCCAAAAGAGCAGCACATGGGGAAAGATGGAAAAGAAAAATATAATCGCTTTAAAAGAGCCCAGCAAGACAGAAATCAAAAGGAGAGAACAAAATCCCCTTCCTGAGGGATACTACAGCTTCCAGCAGAATTCCAGAGACCGGAGCTGGTTGGCTGCTGCTCCTGGTTTTGTCATGAAGGGCAGGACAAGATCCATGTGCACATCCCTGACTGGGGGGATCCGTGGCTGCAGCTGCAGCGCTCACCCCCAGGATCAGTGCCTGAGCTCAGAGGCAGGAAACCGCCGCTGGCAGCAGGGAGAAAAGAGGGGGAAAACCATCTTTGTCCAAATTTTGGAATGCAGAGGGAGAGAAGGTGCAAGCCCTGCCGGCACAGACGTGTCGGTCCTGCCCGCAGAGCATCCCCCGCTCTCGCTCCTCCAGGCTGCTCTGCCTGCCAGCGCTCCCAGCACAGCGCGCTGCCGTCCCACTTTGTTCCGTTCTGTGTTCTGCAGGTTCAGGACTGCTCTTCCCATAAGGAATGCTGAGCTCTTCCCATAAGGAATGCTGAGCTCTTCCCATAAGGAATGCTGAGCTCTTCCCATAAGGAACGCTGCTTTCCCCATGCCCCGTGCAAACAGGGATGGTGCTCTGCCAGCCCAGCAGATTCCCTCGCTCAGGGCCACTTTCTGCTTCTCACATAATCTATAATTTCTGTGGATTTTTGCCTTTTCCAGGAAGCTGAACTGAGCATGTCAGAGAGAACCAGTATCAGCCAGAGCAGCTGCTGTGCTTTTTCTGGTTCTCTCATGAAATGAGATTTAAGAGTCTGGTGTCTATCCCTGACTGTATCCCTCTGCCATACAGAGGAATAATTAATGAAAAATTAGTAATCTGCATTTATAGTCTCCTTTTGCAGACAACACTTGATTAATCTCCACAGTCATCTACCCAAATAAAAGGAGATTAATCGACATCCTAATCTGTCATAAATCAAACAGGCAGGGAGCCTTACCTCGAGAGACAGACAGCACAGAGCCCACATTAGGGTTTAGCCTACATTATTCTAAATCTAATCTAAGCAACACCAGGACTCTGAAGGCATGGATTTTTTTAGGCTGCATTTCAAGGCACCGCAATCTGGGATGTGTTCCCTGTTTCTCCCACTGCATCTCCTGCCATTGTCACTGATCTCACCGGCTCTTGTCACACACACAAAGAAAATCAGCTTACCTCGCTGTTTCAGGCAGCTGGGGGCACTGGGAGCAGAGGTGCCCCAGCCTGCAGAGGTTTTTTTTTGGGATGCCAAGACCTGACAGCTCCATTGAGGAGCACCAGGGGCTGGGATATTTGGGAAGCAGCAATTCGCTTTCTGCAGGAATGCCGAGTCTGTGTTACGGGTTTGGGGGAGTTCGCTGTAATTTGCAAATCAAAACCAAACAAAGTCAGCCAACGAAATCTTTTCCGGGGATATTCTGGATTTCCTCAGGCTATAAAAATGTTGAAGCCTCTAAACATCTCAGACCTGTTTTCCTGCATTCCAGGGCTATAGCCTACCTGTACCCTAAGGCTAAGATGGAATCGCTGTCTCACACCGATTCTTCCTGACATTCACAAGCTCTTTAAAAAAATTCCCTCCCCAAATTCGCTTTTGGCAAGTAAAGGAAGCAGATAAGGAAATATAAATGGCACTTTTTCTAAGGATAATGTGTGAAAGACGCAAATGCACAAGTGTGAAGGAGAGACCAGACTCCAAGGTATTCATGACTGTTGATCTTAGCACTATCAACATCTTTTTGTCACAGATGTCATCACAGAGGTGAAGTGAGTAGCAACTGTGACTCAGGATGGCAGCGTGGGCTCTGGCATGACAGAGAACCGATTTCTCACTCTCTGCCTGTTCCCTGAACCATCAGCCCCCAACAGCTTGTTCACAGACTGCTGCCTTCGGAGCAGGATTAAATTCTTAGCTGGGAGGTAATTTTGTGGGTGTTTACCAAATCATGTTGATGTCTGATGAAATTCAAACCCCTTTAACTGGCA